GACATTTCCATGCCATGCATTCCAGGAGGCCTTGGTGTATTCTGCAGTGCATGTGCCGTGGCATCAGGGGGCCGGTTGTCTCCTTCTGGTTCTTGCAGCCGGCCCCTGATATAGGGACACCATACTGTACCAAGGTATACACCATAATGTCCCAGAAGCGACGCCATACTGTACCAAGGTCTACACCATACTGTACCAGAAGCTATACCAAGATCTACATCATACTGTGCCAAGGGCTACACCATACCGTACCAGAGGCAATACCAAGGTCTACATCATGCCCGGGGCTACACCATACTGTGCCAGGGTCTACACCACGCCGTGCCAGGGTCTACACCACGCCGTGCCAGGGTCTACACCACGCCGTGCCAGGGTCTACACCACGCCGTGCCAGGGTCAACACCACGCCGTGCCAGGGTCTACACCACGCCGTGCAAGGGTCTACACCACGCCGTGCCAGGGACTACACCAAGCCGTACCAGGGACTACACCATACCAGAAGTGACACCATACCGTACCAGGGTCTACACTATACCAGAGGCTACATCATAATAAACCAGAGGCTAAACACACTATACCGGGGACTGTAGTGACCAGCGACTTGCATTTCCATTCAGTGAATTGCTACTACGCCGAGCTCACCTCCCCAAATCACAGCGAACACTTCCATCAGTTGTTAGCATCAGTCACCTCCGGGTTCTGCGCGTCGTTATTGCGGCCGCCAGTACAAACCGCTTCTTGCTATTGGAGGATGTAACGCTCGCTGGGCATCTACCGGAGCTGATTGGCTGTATTAGGAGAGACACACACACCTAGGGGCGTAGCAAGTCACCAAAGGCAACGAGAGCGACGCTACGGAAGCCGATGAGGCGTTAGGAGGGGGAAGAATGAAGTTCGCGTCACGTGACCAAGGCTGACTGGCAGCCTGCTGTTGAGAGCTGAAACATAATGGCCTGTTTTCAGCAATACCTCCGTCCGGGAGCCACATGTTATCACATATTTCATCATTCTCCGCGATATGTCCCCAGAGGTTATAAAAAACATTTTCCTGACCCCCTCAGAAAACAATACCCGCACAGTGCTCTCAGACGGGGGGGGGGAAGGATACCACTTTTGATCATATGGTAGTAAAAATCAATAGCAATCAAAATACATCGCGGGCTGAATTAAAGGATTAGTTCATCCTTTGCCAAGGGCACGCTGTACATAATTGTGATACATGTAGGCCTTCTCTGTTTTATGACTGGAGGCGGCTCCTGCTAGTATACATACCACTCCCCTCTCCTCAGCTGCATCTGACACTGCACGCAGGGAGGGGAGCTCGCCCATAGTTAAGTCACACGTACAAAATAAGTATTTTTTTCTCAATAACTTGTACAGATATGTCCATACAGTTCCACTTCTCAACATTTGTTTTCTTGTCCTATTTTATTGTGCAGGAAAGTAACAATTACTTAACAACAGGCCAAATCCTTTGCTGCTATTGGCCTAAAAAGTATGTCCATCACAAAACGATGCCAGAAGATCGTTCCATCATATCAGTTTGTTAACAGAGCTGTACAATCATGCCTCTGCAACTGAAGGCTACCAATAGTTCAGTGATGGCCCAGGACCATTCCATTATGGAGCTGAAACATCATCTGCCATCTACAGCTCCTAATTCTCTTTATACTAATAAAATGCATACAATGCAGATACTGTGTCCCCTCATTCAAAATCAATCAGGTGGAATACCTTCCATGCACCCCAGGCAGTGTTAGATCTAACCACAGGGAAGATCTATTCATATGTGCAAATGGGGACTTATCAGATTTGGGGAAAACTGGCCAGAGATCACTGTCATTTCATGTTTATGGACCACTAGCACTATCACATGAAGTCATTCACATGCTCTCCTATACTTGGAAGTACTAGATATTTTCTTCTTTCCTGGTGGCTCAACAGAGTGGCCGAGGAAGCAAAGGAAAGGTGAACATGTGCTGCTGTGGAGGGGGGAATTCATTTTTGTCTTACCTTGTATGGTTTTACGGCCTGTTCACATGAGTTCCAGGTCCTGATCAGGGGCGGATCTGCAGACGCAGTGCTATGTGTTTTGCCGCGTTATTGATGCGTTCCAGTTAAAAAAAACAAAAAAAAAACAAAAAAAAAAACAAAAAAAAAAACGCTTTTTTTTTTGCTGGAGTGGGGCTGTCAGTATGTTAGCTGCAGTGCAGTGCGTTTTTGACGCATTTTGCATTTCCTGACCGTACAAAATGAACAGACTGCGCACGTGAGAACTGTAGCCCATAAAACGCATAAGGATACATTGGGATGCATTTTTAGTGCAGGAGCGTACAGATCAGGTCAGCACAGAAAACGGTCGTCATGTGAACAGGCCCTTAAGGTCTCGTTCACACCTAGGCGTATTGCATATGCGCGACCGTCGTGCGTTTCCGAAGGCTACTTGGCTGTATCCCAATGGAAACGCGCAACAAAACGGCCCAAAGTAGTACATGTACCTTTTCAGGCGTGGGCCGTTTTGTAGCGCGTTAGGGACGGGCGGAAATACGCCAAGGTGGGAACAAGACCATTGAATACAATGGGATTTATATTTTTGAGCGTTTTGTAGAGCGTTCGTCGAGCGTAGAACACGCTACAAAACATTCAGGTGTGAACGAGGGCTAAGGGTGAAGAACAAAGAGATAACACTGTTGTTATTGTTGTGTTCATGCTCTTTTGATGTTCCAAATTGGGGAAAGGTGTAATTTGTTATGGTTAAGTTGTTTTTTTAAGATTAATTCACCTTTTCAATAACATGCACTAAGCAGTCAAGAGTGCCCCATGTTTTTATAAACAGTGTAGCTTTAAAATTTGTGGTTTCATTTTAATTGCAATATCCGTAGGCCCATAGCGTTTTACCCTCAGGCTGACTGAAGAACTACCAGTGATTGGGATTAGCACCATCCCATATCTTGGGCGCACACCCAGTTTTGGCCTTCTTGCAAGGGGTAGCCTGGTCCTGGTCTGGTACTTGAACAGAGGAAGCAGGAGCAGATGAGAAGGATGCTGCTCACCCATAGTATCCACACTGTGCACTCACACAGATACTTGGGCACTGATGTCCTCTGTAGGGGGAAAAGAGGGGCTAGCCATTTTAGGATGGAGGTGCGGGAACTCCACTTTCACCAACTTTGGGGTATATTTTCTCCCACTGACCAGCAGTGTCGAGTGGCACCCCAAGTGCAACTCTGGCCACAATGCGCCTGAGTTTTTTCAAGCCACAACTCAACGCATGGTATTGCGGTACTGCACGCTGCAGCCAGAGGTCAACACAATGCACCTCCAACACTGCTATGGTGTGAATGAGCCTTTACTTGACCACTGCACTTTGTACAAAATGTTGCATCTTACATAGTCCTGACTCCTGCACTACATTCACAATGTTGTACATTATACTTCTGATCCCAATACTGCATCATTATATGCCTGGCCCATGCACTGTTACATAGTAGGTGAGGTTGCATAAAGACACAGGTCCATCCAGTTCAACCTGTGGGTGTTTGTATGTGTATATATATATAACCTAATCTAAAAGGTTCTTGAATTTATCAATGCTATCAGCAGATACTGACTGGTAGGGAATTCCACATTTTTACGTAAAAAAAAAAAAAGCACAAAAAAAAAAACAAATCCATATGCAGTCCTAAGATTAAACCGCCTCTCTTCTAGCCTCTTCCTGTGCCCTCAAAACACTTCTTGGTGTAAACATCTTATTCTGACTATTATGGCCCCCATTAAGGATTTTGAAAATAGCAATTAGGTCCCCTCTTCGGCACCTCTTTTCCTAGGAGAATAAGTCTAATTTCTTGAGGCAATCTTCATAACTCACGCCTTCCATCCCCTTAATTTCATAGACCGTGGATCTCTTTCCTGAAGGTTGGATGAAGTTTCCTTGTTGGCACTACTTACCGGATGTCCAGTGTAGTGGTGGTGGTGGGGGGGGAGGTGGGAGTGCTCACAGTCACAGTGGATAGCGCTGCCATTATCTGCAAACGTATTAAGATGTCACCACCCCACCAAAATCATTTAATGATCAAAGCATTAATTTATTGAAGATTCTTGTAATACAAACAAGTGCTTTCGGAGGCCACACAGGGTCCAGTCATCAGTCTCAGCATTGACGATCGTCCAATTCCTCCATTTTGTTCCAGACGTCTAGCATTCATGAACATGCATTTCAAGCTAAAATTAGGGCTCTGAATTTGTTGCTCACAATCTGGCTGCCATTTGTTACACCAAAACTTCCTGCATTATATGCCGATATTATAGTTCACTTAATTGTTGGGATCTCCACCCCCACAACTGTACCTTGAGGATTTTGAGCTCTACTCATAAATCTTATTATGAACATTGCTGCATTACTACTTTCCTGGATAGGGTTGTTTTATATTCTATGTATGGAAGCTGCACTTGTTCTGTATGTTATGCCTGCATGGTACCACTTGTCTTGCACCCTGGAAAGGATTCTTAGCATCTGTTCTTATTATCCAAGTATACTACACATCCACTCCACCTGCTTTTTACTTGTGTGCACCTACAAGTCCCTAGCTCTAAACCACACCCCTTAAAATATTAAGCTGCAGCATATGCCTTTTTTTATATTCCATTCAACTGTCCTGACCAAACATCTTGAAGTGGTTGCTTTGAATGATTGCAATTTACACTTAAAATTAATGTATACATTTTAGCAAGAAACCTGAAATGCCGCTTGCAGGCACTAAGGGTAAGGCTAGTACTCCATGCTTTAACAGTCTTGGTCTTTTGCTGCTGTCTCTAAAATGCCCATAATACCCCACACATTCTAGACAATTGCCAGCTTTTTATTCTTTGCATACCTTTTCTCTTTCCCAGTCTTCTGGGAGTGGCCATTTTATCTAAGGGCAAGTTACTAGATATCTACTGTACTTCCTGCAAATGTCACATGTGACCATGCACATCTCAGGGAGGAAAAGGTCTTTCCCTCATATCATATTACAGATGAATTTCCCAGCAATGCTCTGCTTAGGCAACACTTGGGAACATTACATAATTTGTGCCACAATTAAGCAGGAAGTGGATAAACTTTTTGTAAGTAAAAGAAAAGCATGTTTAAACTAATAAATGCAATAAGATTTTAAAATCAGCATGCAGAGGTATGCTGCTGTGATTTTTAGTAAAAAATAGTAAAGGTCCTGATAGGGCATATTTATAAAACCATGGTGATGCTACATGTTCCAAATCTTCCTTTTTCATGTATGATTTGTGCCTGTACATGGAGCAGTCATATTTGCTCACTTCTAACAAGTTAAGGTCAAAAATCCCATCTGTTGTACTAGACAATGATTCCACATTACCACTTTAACCATGCAGATACAGTCTGGTGATTAGTTGAACAAACCATGTCTGTATTGCAATAGCTCTGTTTGTCGTGTGGCAGCTAAATCTACCTTGCATCTAGTGGCTAGCCTACAGACTTCTACAAATAGAAAATGCATGAAAAAAAATGGAAAATAAAATTTAGTTCTGGTTTGCTGATGCAGCGAAAGTGATAAAAACCAAGACACCAAAACTTTAAAGGCAAATTGATGTTCTGAACCTTTTGGTCTTCTAGTCCTGTCCCCCTGCATTTTTGCTTTGTGACCAATTTGATGTCCCCTACCTACTAGAAAATACCAGTACTTCAGGGTCTAAAGACACAGCTCTGCACCTTTTTCATGTTGACAGTCCTGGTGATTTTTCTAGCACCAAGACTGATCTATCCTTGCTACTGTGCAAGTAGCACCTTGAGCAATGACGCTTAAGGTGGCCATACACTTTACAACCATCGCAAGACCTTAGTCTTGCAATGGTTGTAAAGTAATTAAAATACGTACAATCTGTCCATCTTGGACAGGCAGATCGTACTCTCGATCGCAAGCCCGCCCCCAGGGGGGTGGGCTTCTGATGATCGCAATGCTGAACGGGTGTGCACGTGCGCACACCGGCCCGTTCGGCATTTGTCTCCCGAGCACCGTTCAAACCAGCCGAAAAATTATACGATTTTCGGCTGGTTTTCTAGCGTGCTCCTTAGACAAAAGACGTGTGTCCGTACAGTAGAAACGGTCGCACGTCTTCGTTCACACGGCTCGATTCTCGTACGATCGCGGGATTTCCCGCGACTCTCGTATGAGAATCGAGCAGTGTATGGGCAGCTTTACACAGGCCCAGGCATCACACCTGGCAGTTGAATATAGCTGCTGGAAAAAAACAAAAGCAGGAAACTGTGAACCTGTTGCTGTGCCCTGCATGTGGTGACGTTCATTCACAGCTTAAGCAGGGTGACGGTAGAGGAGCTGCAGGCCAAGCAGCTCTGAATAGCAGAGTTGCTCTCAGATTGCAACAAAAGTGTATATAAGTCACCAGAGTAGCTGAACAGTCGTACAGACTGGCAGGTAAGGGCAGTTTATCAACTGCCAGCAGTTGGCTGAGGCTCATGTTTCCAGGGACAAGGTTGTACTAAAGAAAATGGCATACAAATCACTTTCAAAGATTTTTATTACCTCTTCATACAACTACACATCTCTGCACATAAACCGCTAGTTAGCCTCCCAGCACTGAAAGACATGAACAAGATTGAAGTGTTCAGGACCACAACCACAACAGAAAAAAAAAAGGAACACTGACAACATGCAGGCACCGAGAGTGAGACAAGGAATCATCCTATTAAGCAGCAAAGCTTCTGGGATTGGAAGGTCAAACTGCAGGGTTGTGAAGAGGCCAACATCTGATCATTGCTGGAGGAGCCTGCAAAAAATACAGGCCTCTACAGCAGTGAGACATTTAGGCCATCTCCTGCAGACTAGGTGTACGGTGACTACATAAAGATGGATAAGTGCTGTGTGATTGCTTAGTTGATGACTGGCTTCCTGAAGTTTTTCCCAGCAAAGCGAGCCTTGGATCCAAGCTCCTCTTCAATCCTAAGAAAAAACAAACAAAATCATTACTTTGTGTTAACATTGATATGCATTTTTAATTTTATAGCTACACACTTGGCAACACTTACTACATAGAACTGAATGGCTGAAAGCAATCTGTCTGGTTCAGATTACAACCAAAAATTAGGATCTGAAATGCATTCTGTTAAACTGCTTGGTAACAATATGTAGCCAAAATTTTGCTTGGGATAGGAGCAGACTGTTCCCTGATTTGCTCCATCAGTGAGGCAGAAGCACTGTGCTCACAGCACTTCATGTTCACAGCTGCTGGTAACTCAGGGACCGAGCACAATGCTGTGCTCAATCCTCTGTATTGGAGGCCAGGGGAGGCATCAGGGGTCTAATTGACTCCTGATGACACAAAGGGGCTTGTTATCCCCTGTGATAGCAAAGTAAAAATGCAAGAGTAAAAAACTATTAAAACAAACACTGCCATCTGGACATGAAACATGCATGCAGGACATGCAAGTAAATGATTGTGGCACACTTGGATATCCCCACAAATGCAGGAGGGAAAGCAATTCTATGTCCATAGTTTGCTGTTAACTAAACTGATTAGCAGTAAATGCTTTTAAGTGTCACCTAGTCAATTTTGAGTACCATGATATTTTGCAATCGCATGGGTGCATTAAATTTTAACCCTAGACATGTTGGTATCCATTTACTTGATGTAACCCCATCTATTTTAGCAAAAAAGGGTTCCCTTTGTGTGCACCAAAATACTAGTTTAATTCTACATTTGTTTAAAATATCATGCAGCAAACCAATATGATAATATACTAGTTACACAGGTCCTCTTTCAGAAAATATATTGTTTGGGTGGTATGAAGCCATTTTTTAGCCAAACATTCAGATCATCATGTTGATGAAAAACGAAATTGCTCTGACAGCAAATGCTCAAGCGGCTGCATTAAAAAAAAAAAAAGCTTAAATAGGTATGATCAGGACTAGACACTACATGAACTGAAAAACAAAAAAAACCCAGAAACTTCATGTTTACATCCTTCAGGCAAGCCCTTGTTACACGAGTGCCCTTGCACACAGGAAGGCATAATGCTAAGCCTTGAATTCTGCTTTGTTCTGCAAACTCTACAATCGCACAGGGAAGTTGTATATAATCCTGTACCTGAGAAGCTGGTTGTACTTTGCAAGACGCTCAGATCTACATGGGGCACCAGTCTTTATCTAGAAGTGGGTAAAAAGCCATTAGAAGTTAGTGCATATAAAGCTTAAGGGTAGAGGTTAGGCCAAGGATAACCAAAAATTATGCTTACCTGTCCAGCACAAAGGCCAACAACCAGATCAGCAATGAAAGTATCTTCTGTCTCCCCAGATCGATGGCTGACCATCACTCCCCAGCCATTGCTCTGAGCCAGCTTGCATCTATTTCAGAAAAATGGGAATTTTACACAATGCTGTTGCTGAGCCTTCATTAAAACAAAACAGTCTATTGGAGAGGGGCAGTTTCCAATTGTGGATTTTCTTTGACATGACTGCCATCTTCCTTATCAGTACAAGGAGCATCTCTACCATAGTCCCGTCAATATAGCCTCCCAACTTCCATCATTGTACACCAATCCAAGTCACCTGCCCGATATTGCAGTGCAATGGCAGAAGTATACAAAAGACTAACCTGACACCAAACATTTCTAGTATAACTGCTCTATATGTTGGAAGATGTATGCTACAACTCCAAACTGGCCAAACAGGAAAACTGCATTAAACGGTTAACAGGAAAGGCATCTAGATACACTGTAAGGGGCTTTTTGCTAATGAAAGTCTAATACAGAATGTCCCTTGCTTCAAAGTTAAACCCTTTCAGTAAAGCTCTATTAAAAAAAAAAAAAAGTTAATTTAGCAACTATGCACTACTTACGCCTGTAGAGACTCTGTCACAGTGCCAATCTGGTTAACTTTCAGGAGAAGGCAGTTGCAGGCCTTCTTTGACACAGCCTGTTCAATTCTCTTGGGGTTGGTCACAGTCAAGTCATCACCAACAACTTGGATTCCAGCTTCAGCAGTAAACTTTGACCATGCAGACCAGTCATCCTGATCAAATGGATCTTCAATGGACACAACTGGGAAAGAAAGCGGCCTAGTCAATCACTTGTCATGGCATTGGTAGGTTATCTACTCCAGCTTTGAAATATTTATACAATACCTGGATAATCCTTAATAAAGCTTTTGTATAGATCGCCTAGCTTGTCAGGGGAGATGTATCTGCTAGAGTCATCTGGGGATTTGAAGTCCAGATCATACTTTCCATCACGGTAGAACTCAGATGCAGCAACATCCATTCCAATCACGATCTTATCTGTGTATCCTGCCTTGTTAATGGCAGTCTTCAGGAGATCCAGAGCTGGAAAATAATAAAAGCTCAAACCAGAAATCATACTATACAGGTGAAACTCGATTAGAATATTGTGCAAAAGTAATTGCAGTAAGTGCTGCAAAAGGGGCCCACACCAAGTACATATGCATGCTTGTACTTTTCAGAGGTCCGATATTGTTCTATGTACAATCCTTGTTTTATTGAATGCATGTAATCTACTTTTTTGAGGTTGTGGATTTGGGGTTCTTGGGGTTGTCATGAGCTGTAAGCCATAATCACCACAATGACAAATCACAGCTTGAATTATCTTGCTTTGCATGTAATGAGTCTCTCATATATTAGTTTCACCTTTTAAGTTGCATTAGTGAAATAAATGAACTTTGCACGATATTCTAATTATTCGAGTTTCACCTGTACATGTCAGAAGTTCTAAAAACCAAAAAAGCCAGAGATTTCCCTTCACTTGGTCTCCTGCCTGGTAAAAAAATGGTCCACCAGGGCAGCAGAAATCTCCAACAGAACCTCTGGCTGCCCTCCCTACACTAGCTAAAATAATTATGGCTATAGATGCACTTAAGCCCCATTCACAACTCTTAGGTGCAATTAGGGATTCCTGCAGCAGGAAACCATAACCTGCCGTTTACAAGTAGCAGCGGTCACCTGTTCAAGTTAAAGGATCGGTTAAGGATAGTGTAAATGGGGCCTTAAAGGTGGCCATATCCAATCACGATCTTATCTGTGTATCCTGCCTTGTTAATGGCAGTCTTCAGGAGATCCAGAGCTGGAAAATAATAAAAGCTCAAACCAGAAATCATACTATACAGGTGAAACTCGATTAGAATATTGTGCAAAAGTAATTGCAGTAAGTGCTGCAAAAGGGGCCCACACCAAGTACATATGCATGCTTGTACTTTTCAGAGGTCCGATATTGTTCTATGTACAATCCTTGTTTTATTGAATGCATGTAATCTACTTTTTTGAGGTTGTGGATTTGGGGTTCTTGGGGTTGTCATGAGCTGTAAGCCATAATCACCACAATGACAAATCACAGCTTGAATTATCTTGCTTTGCATGTAATGAGTCTCTCATATATTAGTTTCACCTTTTAAGTTGCATTAGTGAAATAAATGAACTTTGCACGATATTCTAATTATTCGAGTTTCACCTGTACATGTCAGAAGTTCTAAAAACCAAAAAAGCCAGAGATTTCCCTTCACTTGGTCTCCTGCCTGGTAAAAAAATGGTCCACCAGGGCAGCAGAAATCTCCAACAGAACCTCTGGCTGCCCTCCCTACACTAGCTAAAATAATTATGGCTATAGATGCACTTAAGCCCCATTCACAACTCTTAGGTGCAATTAGGGATTCCTGCAGCAGGAAACCATAACCTGCCGTTTACAAGTAGCAGCGGTCACCTGTTCAAGTTAAAGGATCGGTTAAGGATAGTGTAAATGGGGCCTTAAAGGTGGCCATGCATTCCAATCTTTAGATTTGGAAGACTAATGAAGCCAAAAAAAAGCCCACATCTACGCAACAAATCTAAAGCCTCTACAGTGCTATGATAGATCCATGGAGACAGCACAAACTGTAGGGTGTATGATCAGATTTGGTTGAAGACCAAGTTGTTCATCTGTTCACACCCAATTCTTTCTCATGAAGGTTCCAAGTGACTGGGGAACTGAAGAATTTACCAAGACTTTTCTTGACCTTTAAAGTGGCTTTATAAGTTTTAGAAGTCATAATTATGACTACACATGGGCAAAATGTTAATCAGTAAGTGTTTTGTTTGGCAGATAATGTAAACCTACATACAGTCCTAACCAACATAGGAAAGGAATCTTGAGTCTACAATAAGGGGACTTTTCTAATAGTTTTAGTGCCAGTGAGGCCTTGCAATCAAAAGGTTTATATTTAAAAAAATTATAATATAGGGCTTACAATTTCCACTTGCAATTGTAGAGTGGAAATGCAGTGCAGGTGAGTGGAAAGTCAGGCTTGCGGTCACTGAATACAAACCCAACTCGTGGGAGCAGCTGCTCCTGCAGAGCTCTCCGTTCTTTCAGCCGCAGCTCTTCACTGAGCTCCGGCTGAAAACGAAGTGATTAGTAAGGTCTGCAGCAGACCTTACTAGTCACACTAGATCAC